GAATTTTAAATTAATTGATTATTGAATTGCATAATTTTATTGAATTTAACCACAATTATTTAATTGTGACAGAAAATGGAGAGATTCTTTAAACCTAAACGAGTCCGTAGTGGTGAATCTTCAAATGAGCCTAATATTAGTGAACCAGTTCAAAATCAATCTTGTGTGGAATTGAATTTAAATGATATTGTTAGTGATCCGGGATTACGAAAATCAGTTGAGAAATTTGATATTTCTCTTCGAGACCATGTCCGAATAGAGTATTTGACTAGGGGACCTTGCCAACCGATTGACCATATGTATCCAAAAACATCATTTGGTAAACAACATAGAAGTTTCCAAGATAGTTGGTATCAAAAGTTTGTATGGTTAGAATATAGCATATCGAAAAATGCGGCGTTTTGCTTTTGGTGCTTTCTTTTCAAAACACAAAATAAGGGAGGTCGATATGCAGAGGATGCCTTTACAAAAACGGGATTCAATAATTGGAAAAAGGCAATGGAAAGATTTAATGAACATATTGGAGCTGTGAATAGTTGCCATAATGATGCTAGAATACAGTTTGAAAGTTTTCAAGATCAAAGGCATAGTGTGTCAAATGTGCTACGATCTTGTGGGCACGAAATAGATATTGCATATCGCACCCGTTTAACTGCTGCTCTGGATGTGACCCGCTTTCTTTTGAAGCAAGGATTGGCTTTTCGTGGAAATGATGAGTCAACCAGTTCTTCAAATAGAGGAAATTTTCTTGAATTGTTTGAGTGGTATAGCCAGCGAAATACTGAGATTTTTGAGGTTGTAAATCAAAATGCTCCTGCAAATAATCAACTAACTTCTCCAATGATTCAAAAAGATCTGGCACATGCTTGTGCCTCAGAGATCACAAGTGCTATAATCAATGATATTGGAGACAATTATTTTTCCCTAATAGTTGATGAGTCTCGAGACAGTTCAGTGAAAGAGCAAATGGGAGTTGTTTTGAGATATGTGAACAAAGAAGGGCGTGTGATTGAACGTTTCCTTGCAATTGTACATGTGTCTGACACCACATCTCTTTGTTTGAAAGATGCAATTGATTCTTTATTCGCGCAACACGGATTACCATTATCCAAATTGAGAGGTCAAGGATATGATGGAGCTTCAAATATGCGAGGTGAGTTCAATGGTTTGAAGGCCCTTATATTACAAGAAAATCCCTATGCGATGTATATTCACTGTTTTGCTCACCAACTCCAGTTAGTTATTGTTGCTGTTGCTAAGGGAAATATCATTGTCAGTGAATTCTTTGTCTATGTCTCTATGATTGTCAATTTAACTGGAGTATCATGTAAAAGGAGAGATCAATTAAGACAAATAGAACATGATAAGATTGTTACACTTTTAGACAGTGGAGATATTATTAGTGGAAAAGGCAAAAATCAAGAAACTAGTTTAGCAAGACCAGGGGATACTCGTTGGGGATCACACTATCTAACATTACTTCGTCTATCCTCTATGTGGCCTTCGGTGATTGGAATATTAGGAAATATACAAGATGATGCCACCACTTCTGACAATAGAGGTATGGTCAGGGGTTTGATTGATAGAATGAATGATTATGAGTTTGTTTTTGCATTGCACCTGATGAAGTATTTATTGGGAATCACAAATGACTTGTCACTTGTTTTGCAACAAAGGGATCAAAATATTGTCCAAGCCATGAGTTTGATTGATACTATGAAATCTCAATTGCAAGACTTTAGGGAAGAGGGATGGCAAATAATTTTAGATGAAGTCAACAATTTTTGTGAGTTGAATATGATTCCCGTGATTGATATGGAAGACAGTATAGCAATCCGTGGCAATGCCAGGCGCAGTCGCAGAGGTCAAACCATCACTAATTTTCATCATTATCGCGTGGAAATTTTTTGTGAGGTATTATTTTTGAAATTATTATTTCATTACATTTGTTACTTGTTAGCAGATTTTCTTAGTTATTAATTTTATTATTGTTGTGATGTCAGGTTGTTGATTTAATTATACAAGAGATGAATAATCGTTTATCGGAAGTTAGCACGGAATTGCTTAGTTGCATAGCATGTCTTGATCCAAAAAGTTCTTTCTCTCAATTCAATGTGCAGAAACTACTCCGTCTTGCTGATTTATATCCTGAAGACTTCTCAAGTAACGATTATTTATATCTTGAGTCTCAACTTCGAAATTATATTTATAATGTGCAACGCGATCCTCAATTTTCAGAAGTTGGAGATTTGGAAAGTCTTGCTCAACAAATGGTTAAAACTGGTAAAAATACAGTTTTTCCATTGGTTTATCGTCTGATCCAGTTGGCATTAGTTCTACCAGTTGCGACTGCTTCTGTTGAAAGAGTATTTTCTGCAATGAATATTGTCAAGACTGATTTGCGCAACAAAATGGGAGACGAGTGGATGAATGACTGTCTGGTTGTATACATCGAGAAGGATATTTTTGCAACAATTGAAAATGAGCAAATATTGCAGCGTTTTCAACGGATGAAGACTCGCAGAATGCAATTGCCTCCTCTTCGTTATTCGAGTGCAACAACTACCAACACTTCAAGTGTTAATCAATAACAAAATTTTGGGTATGTATAATTATATGTTTTTATTATTTTTATAATTATTGATTCTAAATTTTACTTATTAAATATATTTATTTCATCACAAAAAAAAATTTTTAATACACTTCAGCCCCCCCAAAAATAAATTTCTGGCTCCGTCCCTGTATATATATAAATATATATCGGGTAATTAATCCATTCCAGCCACCTTGGAAAACTCTGGTCAGTATGTAAATTCCCGCACAACTGGCCACAATTTTCAACATATGCTAAAGATAAAAGGATAGACAATCACGACCACAGCCTATTGAACTGAAGGATACAACGGAAATGGTCCACAGCCAACCTTCTCAAGACAACGGAAAATTTTATGGGCTGTCGCAATTTATATATATATATATATATATATATATATATATATTCCAGAATCATCATCAAATGTGATATTGAATAACATTGTTTCCGGCAGGATGTTCCCATCTTGTAGATCAGATTCATCCCTGTTGGTTGTGACTAGAATGTCGTGAATAATATTTCTGTCTTCAATGATGAGATGTTCTTCCCACATATATATATATATATATATTGTGGGGCTGTATAAGCCCGACGCCCCTGACATTTAAAAAAAAATTTCAGCTCGTCGTGCAGAAAGAGGAAACTTCCGTGTTAGAGCCATAGTTGGTCGAATTTTTTTTAAAAACATCAATGTTCTGAGGAATTAGCCAATGGGATGATATGTTGGTTTGCGAAATGAAACAAAAGAGAAACTTTGAATAAGAATGCAAAATTGAGGTTAGATTTATCAAAGAACTAGTTTTGTACCATTCGTTGAATGGGAATTGTCTAAAAATAATAAATTATTTAGTATAGTTCATAAAAATATTTGCATAAAATGCAAACTTATTGTATAATCTATTATAGCCTTTCTTAAATACATTGTTATTCAAAAATAGTCTTATAATGTAAATTTAAACATCTAATTCAGTGATTAATAAATTCAAAAATGCAAAAAAAAAAAAATTTCGACAATATGATGACATTCAAAAACTTTTTTTTTTAAACAAACATTTTTTATTCATCAAAAAACCAGAACACAACGCCAAGGAACCATCCAGATCCCTACATCCTAAGAGAAAAACGAAAACTACAGAAATTCTGCATGTCCAAAGATAAGAGCCCCTGGAGCGCAGGGGCAACTGAGACGCTGAAGTGAAAATAGAACGAGAGCCATACTCAACCCCAAACGTTGCGAGCGAGTTCGCCACCATGTTCCCCTCTCGGTAGCAATGACCAAACTGATGGCCAGCAGAGGTAACCAGTCGAACAGCACGAACAACTGGTCGAATCACCGCAGGGACCCCCCAAACCCCCTTTAAACAATTGATTAAGACCAAGCAATCGGATTCAACAAACAACTGCGAAATCCCTAAGCAGCGCCCCAGCTGAAGCCCTAACAGGAGCGCCCGAGCCTCAGCCTGCAGGGAATCCAGAGAGCCAAAAGAATCTGCAAAGGCAATAATGAGTTTTCCCCTCGAATCCCTAATCACCCCACCGCCCCCACTACCACCGACCGTAGAACAGCCGTCAATGTTAAGCTTAAAAGAACCCTCCACAGGGAAAATCCACCTCACCACCTTAGCTACTAGCACCCTTCGGGTTGATGACAAAACCTCCAGGAAACCCTCCCATTGGCAAGGCAAACGCGCAATCCCTGGAAAGTGGATTTGAACTAACCTTTGCAATTCGGAACAGATAGAAACCTGAACCTGAACCCCAGAAACCTTGCGCCCCTCAAACCTGGACGTATTCCTGGCTCGCCATAAGAACCATAAAATAAGGACCGGAAGAATCCGAGACACCCAGCGGAGCGCCTTCCCTTTAACAGGGAACATCCACCAATCGGAACATCGAGACCTAAAGGAAACACCTCGTACAGACACTCCTAAGGAGCGCTCAAAGAACATCCAAGTCCCAACCGCCAATTGACCGGTAGAGAACACATGCTGCAACGTTTCACCCTGGGCCAGCAAGCAACAATGACACTTAGATGGACCATGAATCTGGAATTTTTGCAGCACATCATCCACTGGCAGATGGCCATTTAGTAAACGCCACATGAAGAAGGATAATTTTCGTGGAACGGACGACTGCCAAATATAGGTACACACCCAAGAGCGAGTCCGAGCCGGCGAACAAGTTGATAAGCAGACCTCAACGAGAAAACCCCTGAGGGATCCAAGCGCCAAACCAGAGCATCCGGGTCTGATCCAAAACAAAAGAATGACCCCTGAACCGTCTCTATAATCTCCGAAGGGAACCCTGCTAAAGCCAAATAATCCCATCGACCCTCCCGTAAAAACTCCGAGACCATCGCATTTGACGCCAAATCAGGATACCGCCATGCCAAAGGGCCCAAACCACTCTAGTTGTCCCACCAAAACGCCACCTCTCCCCTAGAAAGATCCCACTTTAACCATTGCTCCATTGACGACCGGACCACAAGCATACGCTTGCAACTTGCAGACAGCTGACCAGGAAACGGAGCTTGATTCGGGTGCAGGGACCCAAAGTATCGTGCTCTCATAAATTTCGCCCAAAGAGATTGACCACACCGAAACATCCACCATAATTTACAGGAGAACGCCTCAACGACCGCCTGGAGGGACCGAAACCCAACCCCCCCTTCCTTCTCCGGGAAGCACAGCTTCTCCCACTTCGCCCAGTGACATTTAGCACCAAATTCCGATTCGCCCCAAAAGAACCTAGCAAGCATCCGCTCGAGGTCAGAAATAACCCCCATTGGAGGCTCCAAAACTGCCAGCATATGAATCGGCATGGACGACAATACATGCTTAATAAGCAATGCCCGCGCACTCATTGATAACCATCGCCCCTGCCAAGACGCAATTCGGTGGGAGAACTTGGAGAGTAACTCAGCGAATAAAGACTTCACTCTTCTCCCCCTAAACAATGGGCAACCCAAGTAGGTTACTGGCAAGCTCTTAGCAGGGAACCCAGTGACCTGCGCAATCAACCTCCTACGGACCAATGAGACCCTCCTATCAACCAAAAAACAGCTCTTCGCAACATTCACCAACTGCCCAGCACCACCTGATAGCCCTCCAGCACCCGCATGACACACCCAAGAGACCGCTTACCACCGTTGGAGAAGATGATTACGTCATCCGCATAAGCAAGATGCGTGAAAGGAGGGCATTCCCGCGTCACGAAGAACGGAGCAAACCTCGACTCCCCCGGTAACTCATTCAAGCTTCTAGACAACACCTCAGCCGCAATAATAAATAAAGCCGGGGATAATGGGTCCCCTTGCCGTAGACCCCGAGATAAACGGAAAAAGCCACACGGCTTTCCATTAACCAATACTGAGAAATGGCATGACGAAATTAACCTCCAAACCATATCAAGCCATTGCTCCCCAAACCCAAACCTGCGCATGACCTGGATCAACACATTCTAAGATACCCGATCATATGCCTTGGCCATGTCCAATTTCAGGACAACATTGGATCCCCGTACCTTCCTCCCCGAGGCTGAACACATCTCTAAGGCTAACAGTATGTTATCCGATATCTGGCGACCTTTCACAAAGCCACTCTGCTGCTGCGAGATAAGTCGTGGCAACACTCGCTCCAAACGTCTCGCCAACAGCTTAGATATGATTTTATTAATAAAGTTACACAAGCTGATAAGGCGAAAGTTTGAGGAGGAGGACGGCTCAGGAGTCTTAGGGATCAGGGCCAACCACGTAGCAGTGTACCCCCAAGATAGCTCCGCACCTGCAAAAAAAAATCACAAACAGCCCGATAAACATCCCCCTTCACAATATCCCAACAAGAAGTGAAGAATGACCCCGTGAAGCCATCCGGACCCGGACTACTGCCACCATCTAGTTGAAAAACCACAGCCTTGACTTCCTCCTCCGTCGGAAACTGCTGGAGCTCCATGTTATCTTGCATAGTGATAACCGAAGGTATAACCTCTAGCATCGAAAGATCCATCGGCCTTTGTCCTGGTTGCGACAAAATGCCCTCAAAGAAAGTGATCGCCATCTCTTCAATCCTGGAGGGCTCTTCCGTCCATACCCCATTCCCATCCTTCATCCGATGGATGAAAGAACGAACCCTCCGCTGCTTTACTTGTGCATGGATGGTGCAAAATCTTGGCTGATCTTCTGTAAACAAAAGAATGGCCAACCCGTTACCAAAACATCAATTTTGGTACTTAATATAAATGGTTTAAAGGTTAATGTGAAAAGAAAACAAGCCGAACGAAATATTAATAAAAGATAAGAATTCAGAATCAATCAAGTCATAGGAACACAGCAACCTTCTAAATTTGTTCATGGCTAATAGAAATCAAAACGAAAACATAAGATGTATTTTGCTATTAAGTCAAAAATATAAAAAATCTAAATAGTCTGATGTATATTGCATGACGTGAACTGCTGCATGACAATGAACTTGATGTCTTGCCATTTATGTAATCAGTGACACCTTCTTGTTCTTTAGAAACTTTCTACCAAAGTCTAAAAGAAAACATTGAAAACTGCACAAAATTTTTTCAACCCCGGAAACCTAGAAAATAAAAAAAATTAATATGTTGTTGAAGATAATTAATAAATTGTCAAAGGCAATTAAAAAATCGTGTGAAAACACATAGTTCAAAAGGCCACTTTTAAATCACTAACCAAAAAAGCAATATGTGTTCTACTTGAATTGAAGAGTGAATCCATAAATTGAAATAACAAATTAATTACAAAAGCCTTACCAGAAATAAAAACCAAACTGTAACTTTTGAAGACTTAGAAAATTCAAATTCAATGACCTAACTATGAAGAAGCTGTAGGAAATTACAGACCACATACAGCTAGTATAAACAAAGTCCAAATGCGATCCATGCATTGAAGGGAATAAAAAAGAAATTCCAAATCCGGTCCTTGCATTGAAGTAAAAAAAAAAAAAAACTTTTCAAAAACATTGTGGAAAAGTGTAAACATCTGCACTGCTTGATAAAGTGATGAGTAATAGATCGATAACCATATATATGAATAAAAATGTAGAGTATCTTCAATAGTGATAATCTAATAAAGATAATCTAATATTTGAATTGATATTTCGAACTTTTGAGTTGAAGATGAGAGAGAGTTAAAAACATAATTCAAAATTATTTATACTAATCCCCATGAAATTTAGGCATGACAATTAAGGTTTAGGAAAAAAAAGGTGAGAGAATGGAAGAGATAATTATGGGAGGATTATCTAGAAATGGAAAGTCAAGAGAAAAAAGAGAGATAGAATAGCGTAGGTAATTAGGGGGTTAACTTATAGAGCGCGTTGCACCTACTTGCTATGCCAATAAGCCACGTAGGAAAGAGATAAACTAAAAGAATAAAAATGAGAATACGACTTTATTATATATATATATATATATATATATATATATATTTATATATATATATGATTGGAATTTTTTCTTTTCCATAAATTTCATGCTATGCACTATGTCTTGATAACGCACTTAATAATAAAATTTATTAAGAATCCTATTAGAAAACTACTTGTCGTCTCGTTAAGCCACGTATGAAAGAGAAAATATGAAGGGATAAGAATAAAAATACGATTTTATTATATGTGTGTGTATATATATATACATATATATATTATTCGGCACCAGATTTTTGCTTGGATCAAGCCTATTCATCAGTCGGATTGTGGATAGAAAGGTCCAGAATATTACATTTTGGAAACGGCCATGGATTTGGCCGGGATCAAAAACAATCCTGCACCAGACCTTCCTTGGCCTGCTTTACAAACTGGATTGGGCCATGGTTCTGATTATAAGTAGACAAGAATCTGGGGCCGGTATCTATATAAACAGTCCGAATATTTTGACATATTTTCACTTCAAATGACGGTAATTTTTGCTGCTAAAAGTTGTGTTTTGAAAACGCATTGTCTATGAACGTTAAAGATATGTGGAAAACACTATTTTCCTATATATTAACATGTTTCCTAACAAATTAACTAACTTAAAATAATTGATCATTCTTTTGTGAGAAAACTTGACATTTGCTATCAAGTTTTTCTAAATCTTGTTATATTCTAGAGGCAATTTGCCACAATTTTATATCAAATACTTTATGCAGTGGAGGCAAATAATACCTTAAGGATGGTGCAAAATATGCCTCGTCTTCATCCTCACTTTCTTTATCAAATTTGTGTAATACAAAATTTTACACTTTATGTGCTTGTGTATCACCTACACCAACAATCTTAAGGTGTTATTTAGTGTTATTTTGAGAGTAATTTGGTGCAATGAAATCTACTATTGAAAATGTACTCAAGATGTGATTCGAAATTGTAACAAATCTCCCCTACACAATATGGTGATAACAAGGCGGGTGAAAGAAATAAAAAGTGGACGAAGTGCTACGTAGAAAGCCTCATGGATTGTCTCTATGATTTCTACATCACCATCAAAACCCTTAGAGAAGTTTGAACTGCATGGGAGTATAAGGAAAACTCAAATAAGGTGAAGACAAATTTCTTTGTGAATTGACAAATATTTATAATATCATGTATGTGGTATTTGTAGTTTAATTTGCAAATCATAAATTAATGCTATATGCAAACTTTGTTTTGATTAAATTTGGTGATATACTTGCATTAAAAGGAAAGTTTAAATCAAATGATACTTTCTTTTATGCATGGTATTGCTTGTGTTATATTGATGTTTCACTTACCGTCTTAGAGGGAGACTGTTGGTGTGATGTGGTAAATGAAACAAAAAATGAGACTTTGAATAGGAGTGCAAAATTGAGGCTGGATTTATTAAAAGAATTCGGTGCAGGATTCCTACTTCGATCAAGCTGGATTCATCTGACGAACTGTGGATAGAGAGGTCCAAAATTTTGCAATTTGGAAATGGCCTAGGATCCGGCTTGGATCAAGAATGACTTTGGATCCTCATTGGCCTACTTTACAAATCGAGTTCGGCCTAGGTCCAATTCTGTGCAAAGAAGGAATCGGATCCAAGGCCGGGTTCTATATAATGTTCAGAATATTTTGACACATTTTCACTTCCAATGGTGGTTATTTATGGTGCCAAAGGTTGTGTTTGAAGACACATTATCTTTTAACATTAAAAATATGCGGAAAACACACTATTTTTCTATATATTAACATGTCTCTCTAACTTAAAATATTTGATCATTCTTATGTGAGAAAAATTAACATTTGCTATTTAGTTTCTCTAGATCTTGTTATATTTTAAAGAAAATTTGCCATAAACATGTAATAAATACTGTGTGTAATGGAGGTAAATCACACGTTAAGAATAGTGTTAAAACATGTCTCAAGATCATCATCTTCTTCTCCACTTTGTGAAATTTGTATAATACAAATTTCTGCATGTTTTGTGCGCTTGTATACCGCCTATGCCAACATGATATTCATGCTCCAAACGTTCGAGTGTTTGATAAGAAGTTGCACAAGTGAAATGAGCTCTTCTTAAAAATGAGGCCCAATTATCATTGAAGGCTGATGTGTGACAACACTTCAATAACTTTGTTTACCCAATAACCATGCCAATTTATGAACCCAACTTTGGGTTAAAGATAAATCAAATTATTTAATACTTGAATATTATTTGATTGTGTAAGAACTCGTTTGAGTTTGATTTAACAATTAATCAAATCAAATGCGAATATCATTTTTTGAATTTGATGAAGTTTTAAATTCAATTTGAATTGGACTCAATTCGGACATGATTTGGAACTTATATCTAAGAAATTTAAACTTTGAAAGTTTGATTTGATAAAAGCTTTTCTAAATTTGGTTGTCAAATAAATAAATCAAATTTGAATAAAATTTCAATTTTTTTTTGATAAAACAAGAAACTTTATTAATGAGATTATTAGATATCGTCCAGCATGATTTGCTTGACAAAATTTGGAGGAGAATTCTATAGAGTTTCTAAAAGGTTGGCTGCTTTTGCATGATGAGCTAAACAATGCGCAAATTGAAAACATGCTAATCTAATAAAGCCAAGTGAATATTCTCAATTATTGAGCCTAAACTGGATAGAAGGTCCTCCTCATTGTTGATAAGCTTGATAATTAAAAACGCATTGCCCTCAAGAATAAAACTTGGAATTTTTAGCATCTTGGCAAGGTAGACTGCTTCTCTAGCAGCAAGGGTCTCAGCAAGTTTAGCATTCCCAGAGCCTTCTTGAGGTTTGATAAACCTGCAATGAACACACCTTTGTGACTGCGAATAACAACCCCAAAACCAAAAACCTGTCAGCATGTGGAAACAGAAGCATCGAAATCGATCTTGAAATGAGGTGAAGGGGAAGACAATCCCGCGGAGTCTTGGCGTGCATAGGGGAGCAATTGGCTGTGCGAAAATTTGCAAGATGATGGAGTGCATAGCTAACTATATATAGAGGATCCTGGTGTTTGCCATTGAAAATTGCACCATGCTTCCAGATTCCATAGCAAAGAGTTGCGAACAATTCAGAGTCCTCAGTGGAAAATACCCGACCAATCTCCTTAACTGTGAGCTCAGCATTAGAATGACTGCAGGTTTAATAGATCTTTCTTGGGAGAAAAGCTAATGCCCAAATTTTAATTGATGCGGGACATTGGAAAAGAAGATGATATAGGTCTCCATCAGGCACATTACACATGGGGCAAGAGTTATCCACATGAATACCTCGCTTCTGAAGATATCACAGGAAGGTAATGAATTATGGATGATCCTCCATAGCAAGTGCTTTGTTTTGCTTGGGATATTAAGGCCTCAGAGTTTTTTCAAAATCTTGTCAATACCTGAGCTGCTGCTTTGTTTCTCCTGCTGTCCTACCTGTATGACATTTGAATCCATTATTGCATAGTACACGTTTTTAACAGAAAACTTGCCATTTGCTGATTAATGCCAGGCCCACCTATCTTTGAATAAAATTTCAAATTCATTAACATAAACAAACAGGTTGAAACATTAAGTTTTTGGTTTTCTTAGTCTCGTTTACACCTTAATTGAGCCTACCCTGGTCTTCAAAACACTTCAATGTTGCATCCTAATTGAAAGCCAAATAGGCT